GCAGATGTCTTAGTTACAACATGATTGAGCTATCTGGAGTAGTTTCATGTCGTATCCGACAACGGGAGGCTTTTAACAGACGACATCCTGATGTTAGCTTTGCTGCTGCTGTTAGCTGTCCCTGTCAGCGGCGGCCACTGATGCTTTCTAGACATTGTGATTTCCCAAAACTGAATAAATACCACACATAGCAACACAAAACTGCTTTGCTAGCTCAATCATGTTGTAACTAAGATATCCACTGGAAAGAATATTTTTTTCACGGGCCATTTAGTGAGTTTTTTTTACATGGCGGAGGAAGCTATATGAACGAGCTAATCCTCGTCTGCTGAGTTTTAAAAATGCCGGCTATTTTGTTGCATTCTGTTGACATTACATCCCTCCTTGAGTATATCCAATCAGCACCAAGTGATCCCCAAGCCCCAGCCGGGAGTCTTTCGGGGCCGTTCTGAGTACCTACCCCGAGGCAGGGACTTGTTTAGCCCCTGTAAAAGTTCCAGAACTCTGTCCTTCGGGGGTGGTTCCTGCGGTGGAGACACGCACCAACGGCCCCAGCCCCGTAAAATTACCCCGAAGTTCCTGCGGTGGAAACGGGCCTAATATCATATTGTAGGTCCTCTGGCGATTCCCACCTCAATCACATTCCTCTAGAATTCCCCTGTGAGGATCCACGATACAATATTATCACGATACTTAGATCACAAAACAATTTTATTGCAATTTCAAAGATGTTGCGATATGCTGGGTATTGCAATATATTGCAATTACCTTTTTCAACTGTAAATTATGTCTCCAAAAGGAAATGTGTGTCAACATCTGTTTTATCTAATAAGATAACGTTTTCAGTCTGTTCATCTCAACTAAAGACTGATGACTTTCTCCCTGATTTTGTGTTTAGATGGGCGGATACAATTTCAGAGTTTAAAAAAACTCCCTACGTTGCAGAACCAATAATGGGCGGTCCTTCGGTGGCTCGCTGAACTCTTGTGCTCAAAACATAGTCTGACTAGAAACACGTGTAGCGGTACAAATCACATTTTTCACATCACTGTATCACCGTTTAGACTAATCCGATGTTTGTAAAGTCTATAAACACAATGATTGAACAAACATTATTTCTGTGTGCACGTTTAGCTGGGCTAACCGTTAGCTGTTAGCCCTGTTAGCCGTTAGCGGTGTCTGTAATAGGTAATAACTCATTAAACGGTCCGTGAAAAAAATATCTTTTGCAGCGGATATCTTAGTTATAACATGATTGAGCTAGCAAAGAAGTTTTGTGTTGCTATGTGTGGTATTTATTCAGTTTTGGGAAATCACGATGTCTAGAAAGCATCAGTGGCTGCAGCTGACAGGAACAGCTAACACTAGCCGCAAAGCTAACATCAGGACGTCATCTGTTAAAAGCCTCCCGTTGTCGGATACGACATGAAATTACTCCAGTTAGCTCAATCATGTTGTAACTAAGACATCCGCTGGAAAAAAATATTTTCTTCACGGATGAGCACACGTTTGAGTTTAATCTCTCAGCATCCATTTTCAAACTCTCTGTGTGTTTGTTTCCTTGCGGACGAGAAAAGGGGGAGCGCACATTTCCCAGTAGGCATGTCCTTTTCAAAAATGCAAGAGGCGTTGCTTTGTTGCCGGCCGTTTTCGCCGGTGTGTTAAAAACACTTCAGAAAGGAGTGTCCCCAGACTATCAGAAGGCGGAGATCTCTGATTGTCTGGTGGCGAGACTATTCATAAAATTATTCTAGCAGGCTACCAAAAGTTTAATTTTTATTTGTAATGTTTATCAGTTATATAATAATAAAAAATAGACAGCTGGTACTATGATACTGCCACACAAAAATATCGCGATACTATGCTGTATTTTTCACCCACCCTTAGTAAGTAGGCTCGTTCGAGATGAACTGCGCCTCGCCTGAAAAGTAGACGAGAGCAGGCGGCCGCAGCGGGGGGCAGTGACAAAAAGCTGCGGTGAAGTCGGACAGTTTCCTGACAGTTTCCAGCAGCCTTCAGTCCGTACAGGAAGTCACAGACACACTAACATCCTGTCTGGAATGATGTCAATTCATTAAAAAAGTGATCAGACCCATATATCAGTTTGTTTTCACCATCAGTCACACAACATGTTTTCTGTTCACAGAATAAACCTTCAGGTCAGACAAATACAATCTTAATCTCTAAAATACAACAAAATGAGTAGTTTATCTAAAACGTCATATTGTTGAGTCGACATCTGAACCAATCAGCTGTTAGATCCAATAGTATGTCTCTGCAGACCCGGAGACTGCAGATTCAGACCCGCAGTTCTAGACCCCTTGTTTTTCGTCCCCTACTGGACGGCTGTATAACTGCAACTAAATCAGCATCTCACCCAAACACCACTGTTTGAAAGAAGTTAGACTTTCAATGCTTTATTACAATTTACAATTTTAAAATTTTATTACACCCGAATAAAAATACCAAGATTTAATTGTTGATTTATGCCTGGGTGCTGTTCTGCATTATTATTGTTTGCTGGTTGTTCTGTATGGTTTGATCCAACTATTTTAGTTCTTTATTTCTTAATATTCATCAGACTGCTCTGACTAGCACGCCAAAAACTTGCACTGCATTGATCAAACCCGCTACAACATATAATAGGAAATGTTTGGTCTTGGGTGTCCAGTGCTCACTTTTGTTGTGGGAATTTGAAACAAAGGCTGTGAAATACTGAAATGGTTTGAAATGTTTAATTGTGTGCAGTGGTTACATCACACATCAGGGAGATCTGCAGAGAAAAAAAAGAAATCAAACATATCACAAAATTGAAAACAGAAAAACTTAAAAAAAATTAAATGCCTATCACAGTCTACACTGAAATACTGAAGATTCTGGAGCATAGCAAATACATTATTATATCGACATATTAACAATAGTGCCCCTTCCTTCCTCATCTGCTTTTCGATCCTCCACAAAACTCCTCCACTTCACTGTGGTTTCCCCTTTCTGGATTGTTATGTGCACCTTAAAAAGAGAGTCCCTAATTATTCAAAGTTAAGATTTTTCAACCGTTTTACACACATAAACAAGGCCAAAACCTAATAATAGACAAAAATACATTTAATTTCTATCCACAAAATCTCATCCCTAAATATATGCTATAGAGTAATATCTATGTAGTGATATAAACACACGTGATATATAATATGAATAATAAAGGAAAAACGTGTGTAGGTGTATTACATGATGACAAGGTGTACAACATGAATACAAAATTAACTTTTAGCATAAAGTACACTAATTGCCAATATGTAAACAGTTTCATGCTTGTATGAAAACGTAAGCCTATACACGTTTTTCTCTTATCATCCACTTCATTGCTTTAATCATTTATTCATGTTTAATTTAAAGCACATGCTAAAGTCATTCTATCGCGCTTCGGTTTCATGAAACAAAATGTGCAGGTCAAACAGTTCATTGCTAACAAGCTAAACTATTACCTACTACTTTAACCCATATTTGACGTGTCTTTCAGACTATCGTGGTAAAGACAGTCATATCATTTTAAACGTATCACTGTAAAACATGAAATTCGCTCTCTAATTCAAGTCAACAAAATAGTTTAAACAAATAATATGATTCACATTCAATACTCACACTCGGATCGTCGTCAGCCATATTCAATAGTTGTAATAGTATGTTGGCTTCCAATGAAATAGAGGGCGCTGTCGCGAAATACAAGGAGTCTAGAACTGCGGGTCCAGATCTGCAGGTCTGAATCTGCAGTCTCCAGGTCTGCAGACACACCCTCCTCGTTAGATCAGGTGAGAGCCAGGCGGTGCAGTCGGTGGAGAGCAACTGCAGCGCCTGGCTCTAAAAACTGTGGCCGCCTCGCTCTCGCGGTTTTATCGCCGTCCACTTTTGTAATAGGTCAGAGCAAGTTGGGATGAAGTCGGACACAAAACTAACCGGCATGCATTGTGCGCCGATCGCCGGTGATCGAATCTGCGCAGGCCTGGCTCATCTCGAACGAACCTAGTAGTAGGAAACTACCGACAAAGTGGGCAGAACGACTGCTTCCTGATACCATATTTTAAGTCATTATAGCATACCATAGTACATCATCAATCTGGCGTAGGAATATATACATACCTATATTGTTCCGTTTGGCTCATTTCCCCTCATTTAAGAACACTGCGTGGGCAGTACTCTTTTTCTTATGCCACCACTGCAACAAAATATAATCTGGAACACAATCCCACTTTTTTTCTGGATGCTGGCCTGGTTCCTCCAACAAAAACCCAGCGCCAAAATCAGATTCGCCCTCCCGAAGCACAGCACACTGCAAAACACACCGTGTTTCCCCATCCTTAACCGCTGTTTCCAGAACTTCTACATCACTTCCTTACATCCCAACTCACACTGCAGCCCTCCAACTCCACAATCATTTCAGTCCTTCAAAGCTGCGCAACAAGTTAGCCTACTACGCAAACCCCGTCTCTCTCTTTTCGCTCAATGTCATCTGAATTCCTTTAATCCTTTAACCTGAAATGGCATCACAGCAGTGTTGTGAGGTTGGGATGTGCTGGGACAAGTTGGATGTGCAGCTGGCCTGCAGAGCTGCTCTCTCTGCTCGGACTCATTAAGAAATATTTAGAAAGGGAGCAGAGGCTTGCCGATGGAGAAAAATAGCCTATTAGACCCTTAGAGGGAGGTTCAGCGCATCTGTAGTGACTTTACAAAAACTACAGCACACTTGATACTATTTTCCATCTCATATGAAGCCACTAAAACAAAGAGGAGATATTTAGCTTGTATTTCTTAAAGTTAACTGTGACGCTGCAATAGCGTCTTCTCATAAGGGGATAGCTGCATGACGTCAGCTTTAATAGCGTGTTTATATTGCTTTCGTGCGATACTAAGCAACAGGATTCCCACCTAAATTATTAACAACAACACTGCGCCTAAACTAGCATTCGGAAAACAGCGGAGTTTGGAAAGCCCAGGCAACTTACTTGAAGGTAAGGATGCATAGCGGTCTGTAGGACTTGTGGCTCGTATTGTCCGCCATCCTCTTGCCCCAGAAGTCGTTGTTGAAGATGTTTCTGAGGCTGGAGCCCGGTCGGACGTCCGGGTTGTTGATGATAGCCCAAACATCGTCGTGCACCAATTCCCCGCGGAGAGAGTTGCTGTAGCACAGGGCGCACAGGGCAGCCAACACGGCGTAGCGACCCGCTGCACACACCGCTTCGGGCCGGACGGTCAACCGCGGCTGCTGGCGTGCTTTCTTCTCCCGTCCCGGCGCTGTCATGTCGGGCCTGGCTTCTCCCGCGTCTCCGCTACGCTAAGGATGAAGCTGGGAGCATCGGATGATACGTCCATTACGCCTAGCAGGTAGTGGCTGTGTGTGCTGCAGAGTGCGGGGACGGTGTGTCTGTGTTGTGCTGCCTTCAGGTGTAGTCGGTGAACATCGGACTCGCGGCTGACCAGAGAGCGCTGGTGTCTAATGTTCTCCTGTCGTTTTTGTTCCTTTTGTATGGAATTAGGAAAATGGCTATGTATTCGTCTTTACTACATTTTATGTTATTTGGGCTATTATACCGGATTGTTAATTTGTTAACGTACATACTATTTATTATTGAACATAGCTAATGCCCTGTTTGGTCTTAAAATACAAAATTATATGTAGGCTACCTATAAGCTCATTTTTGACCATGCAGGTTTTACAAGAAAACATTTTAACTCAGTGTGTACTTGGCTTGCCTGCTTTCAATTGCATCTCATATCTCCATCAGCTGATGGAAGAGCCAGTGGAGTTCTTTGGGGGGAAAAAAGAAAAGCAGGGGTGCACAATAATATCGGAACGTATCACCCAATGTCAGCTTTAAAATGAAATATCACAATCGGCCAACATGCTGGTAATATGGTATGTCATCGGTATCGGCCAATATCGGCTTTAAAATGAATTATCAGAATCTGCCAACATGCTGATAATATCAGTATGTCATTGGTATCGCTGATATTGCCATTAGAATGAAGAATCGGCCAACATGCTTTTTGTTATTTTGCACAATGAATGGATATTACGTACACTGAAAAGTATTGTATTTCATGTCTCCATCTGCTGGTGGGCCATCACAATAAGAGTATGCATGCATAATGGAATAGTGGAATGTTAACTCCACTACAGAAGAGACTTGATGATCACTAAAAGTGGGGAAAAAAGTGAATATATGAATATTTGTATCGGTTATCGGTCAGATTAGTTGTTTCATATCGCCATATCAGATATCAGCAAATAAATTCCAATCTCATTTTCTTTCTTTGTGGTTAAAGCCTTGTGGCTGGTTACACTTAGTAAAACACAATGGTTGGCATAAAACATACTTACTAAGCATACTTAAAAATACTTTTATTCATAGGACAGTTAAGCTTGTGAGGCCTCATTGACTTGTACTTCCTTCAGTGGATGTCAACTGATATATGGGAAGCAAAGTGTTTGGTGATATCATTGACAGAAAAAACAACTTTATCACAAAATATGTCTACCCTCATACAGTAAGAATAAACAAATATTAGTTAAATAAAGATTATTTTAAAGAAGGACAATAAGCCCGGAGAGCTCCATTTTCTAATGTCTGTGTGGAGACACTTAGAAAAAAAACTTATGGAAACTCCCACTTGTGAACTGCACAAATTTAAATACACTGGTATTCAGTTTTAATGGAGAGGTGTAATTATTTTATGAAAGGCCTCTTGAAGTTTATGTGGGAATGATGAAAGAAAGGAAGGAGATGAATGTTTGTAGTAGGCTAATGTAAAAATTGGTGTTTTATGAATAATGGACGAAAGACAAGTTTGAGTCAGTGGTCCTGAATGCACGAGCTTATGTGGAGTACCAAAACGCCACATCAGCAGTGCAGACGCATGCGCAGCCGGATGTTGCCTCTTCGGACTCTCAGAAACATCAGCTGCAGAAAATCAATGACGCTCGGTGGAGAAAGCATGGATTTCTTTTAACATCGCTTTTAGTTAGGTTATTTATAAAGGCTTTTCTTTCACTCACACATACACAGTTTGAAGTTATAGTTAATGCAGTGTAGTATGGAGCATTTTTAAGGCCGAAACTAAATATATAAACACATAGATAATTATATAATTAAATGCTTAAATAAATAAATAAATAAAAGGGGTAAATACACAAATAAATAACTATGTAAGTTATTGCTTAATGGTCGCCATAGATAAATCACAAACAATGAGACATTAAATAGGTATGTAAATGTTACATTTATTTATTATTTATTAATTTATTTATTATACTAAGCTGGTTAAAGGAGGAGATAGAGGCCACTGATATCAAGACAAGGAAGCTTCTAACAATGCATGGAAAGTTTCATCCCAAGTCCAGCACCCTGCGACTCTACACAAAGTGGAAAGAGGGGGGCAGAGGACTGGTGAGCGTCAGGGCACTGTCCAGGATGAAACAACCAAGATCCAGGAATACATCAGGAAGATGGCCCCCAAAGATGAGCTGCAAAGTGAATACATCAGGCAGCATAAGCCAGAGAATGCAGAAGAGGAGGATGAACCATCATGGAAGGACAAGCCCCTGCACAGCATTTACCAATGACAGATTGAAGACGTAGCCGACATCGAGAAATCCTACCAGTGGCTGGAAAAGGCTGGACTGAAAGACAGCACAGAAGCACTAACCATGGCAGCACAAGAACAGGCACTTAGTTCAAGATCAATAGAAGCAGGGGTCTACCACACAAGACAGGACTCTAGGTACAGGCTGTGCAAAGATGCTCCTGAGACAGTTCAGCACATAACAGCAGGGTGTAAAATGCAGGCAGGAACAGCGTAAATGGAACGCCATAACCAAGTGGCTGACATAGTTTACAGCAACATCTGCACTGTGTATGGGCTAGAAGTTCCAAGGTCAGAATGAAAGACACGTCCTGAGGTGGTTGAGAATGACTGAGCTAAGATCTTGTGGGACTTCCAGATCCAGACTAATATACTGGTGATGGCTAACCAACTGGACATTGTGCTGATCGACAAACAGCAGAAGAGTGGTGATAAATGTAGCAATCCCAAGTGACAGCAACATCAGAAAGAAGGAACACGAAAAGCTCGAAAAATACCAAGTGCTGAATGAGAAGCTAGAAAAGATGTGGGGAGGAAAGGCAACAATGGTGCCAGTGGTAATCGGAGCACTCTGGGTTGTGACCCCCAAACTGGGAGAGTGGCTCCAGCAGATCCCAGATACAACATCTAACTCTGTTCAGAAGTGTGCAGTTCTGGGAACAGCTGAGATATTATATATATATTTTTTCTGCTCTTGTCTGTGTCTTGTTCCAGTAGCCCATTTCTCATCAGGTTGCCCCAGTTCCCCAACGCCTAACGCTAACCTTGTTTTCCCCGTGTGACTCTTGTAAAGTCCCCTCTTGAAGCCTCGAGTTTGGCATTTTGGTTGTCACAATCTTTTTTTTCTAGAGTCAGAGGTAACCATATTTGGGCGAGAGGCTGAAGTTGTGGAGGAATGAGAGGTGAATCTGACTAAAGCCCGTTTTAGATAGGAATTGTGCAAACTTGCAGGAAAGCCCAATCAGTCTTTTTTCAGCATTGGCAGTATAAAAACAAAATTGGGGAGTGTGGCAAAATACCTACTTTTGTTTATACAGAATGTGCCTTTTTCGGGCCAATAGGGGGCATGAGCAAGTAACAAAATGTGTAGCGCAGCGTGTGACGTAAACAGTGATGTGGGAGGGAAGCTGCGGCTAGTCAGTCCTTCGGCAATTCTCTCGTAAGTCGGCCCGTTCTTCACCGTCCCTGTCATCTGACGGTTAATGGCCTCTTTGTTTGCGAGGGCAAGGAGGGTGCACAATTCCTTGTCTCCACAGTTGCTCATCTTTACGAGTGTCTGTCAGGTTTGCGTTCCCTCTTGCTACTAGCTGCTCGCTAATTCCTGCTATCAGCTGTTTCCTGTTTATCCACCGGCAGTTGCAGAAGGCCGCCTCGGTCTTTTCAAACTAAAAGGGTTCCGCCAATATGACTACCCTACGAGGCGGAACCTCGGATCAACCTGCCAATCCGGTTCTGTGTGTCTAAACGCTCACAGCTTGCCTGCAAAATGGCCCAACATTCTCGGAAAATCTGGCAGTGTAAAAGGGGCTTAAAAAGATGAAGACACTATCAGCAGACAGCCTGTCATTCAAAGTAGCCCACTCTTAAATATCTTAAATACACATAACTGAATAGAATATAAAAAGGTGAGTTATATATAAAAATTCACCGCCTGTACAGTTGTCATGAATGTTGAAATTAGCTATAGAAACCAAAACTGTTTTGTACCAGTGTGTAAACATGTTTATTTTCCCCGACATAAAAAGTTGTTTGGAAAAACGTCATTTGAACTCTGTTTGTTGCCTCATTGTAGCCTGTAGCTTTAACTGCCTTTCTGTACACTGCGGTGACGTGTGTACACTTGCGCGAGACGGTAAGACATGGGCACTGCCTTCATGTGTGTTCACGTGCTTTTGCTGGTCTCGCACGCAAGCGCACACACATGAGTGCAGTCCACAGAGAGTTAGAGCTGCAGGCTACAATGAGGCTAAAAACAGAGTTCAAATGACTTTGTTGTGCTGCTACCCACTCCCCCCTTGGATCTCCGAGTAGATAATGGCTGAATTTTCATTTTTGGGTGCACTAACCTTTTAAGTGTCCATTGCAATAGAAATGAGTCCACACAAAAGTACAATAAATAAAGAAATACATTCAAATAATCAACTTAAACATACTATGCTCATCACATTACCCCTTAGGTCTGATTAGAATAGAGTAATCACAATAGGATAAAAGATCCAATAAGTGTTTCATTCATTCACCCATTTTAAACTCTTAAACGTAGCCCACCACACTGCTGATCACTCATCAAAACCCATACACTACTGTAGTAGTAAACTGTTTCACTTACTGCTAAAGTGTTTCAAAGCTTACTCATTGTCGAAGATGACCGTGAAATCAAAGCATATTCAGATTGTTTATCGTTTGTAAACTCGGCAAAATGACTCAAAACCCCATGTGTATTCACTTATTTCACCAACCAAGATAGCTGTTATATCACAGGCTACTTTGTGACCTATGAATACCTTTAAAGCATTGTCAAATAAACATCTGAGTGCGGGAGCTTTTCAGGGGAAATTCCATAGGATAACATTAGGCTATCAGTAGCAAGCTAACTAGGGCTTGCTGCCACAGCTAGCTCACAAGATGGCCGTTAGCGTTAACTGCAGGCTACTGCATATTACCTCAGCTAGCCGTCTCGATCGCTGTTAACATCTATACTTATATTTACAGTTACCTATTTAAACAATAATTAAGA